AGAAGGAAGCATGGCTTTGGAACACTAGGGCCTGAGAGAAGGCTGAGTGGGGCGGGCTCCAGAAGAGACTGATGGTGCGAAAGGGAAGTGGGGTGGAGGTCAGAAACTAACCTTCAGCACTTCCTAGTGTTTTTGCAGTGTCAGCAGCTTGAGAGGGAAGAGGTCAGTTGACTCTGCCCCAGAGAGGTTGTGTGACCTCTGCTTGGACATGCTCTCATCTCCTATGCCCATAGGAGGGGCTCCGATGGAGGCAGGCCCAGGGTACTCTGTACCTGCAACTCCCACCATCCTGGGCAAGTGGAAACTAGTTGAACCCTTAAATGGAGCAGACCTTGAAGTTCCCTGGAGCTGCCCAAGGCACAAAGGCAACCCCATGCTCTCTGAGGCCACCCGGATGTCTGCAGCCCAGAACTGGTCATGGGCACAGCTGATCGGGCCCCAAGCTCACAAGATCCCAGGTGCTCAGGCCAGGTGGTACCTCCTCCCATCCATCCCCCGCCCCTGCAGGGACATCTTTGGATGCCAGGGAAGGAAGGATATCTCTTCACTAAGCTCTTGCTAGGTGCCTCACACACTTTCTCACTTAATGCTCACAATGGCAGGTGAAACAGGAGCTCAGAGGGTGAGGCAGCCTGTTCAGAGTGACCCAGAGTCAAATTCGAATCCAGGACTGACAGCTCTGGCCTCTGTTCCTGGCATCTTGCTGAGAAAAGTCCTGCCCCGCCTCACAGCTCATGGGCTCCTGCTGGCTCCTGAATGCGTCCCTCTTCTGAAGGGACTTCCTCCTTTGGCGTCCTTGTGCCCAGGTTATAAGGTGGGAGGGGAAGGAGGGAAGGACTGAAGGGAGTCAGATCAAGCCCGGGAAGTCCCCACTGCTGTCTTTCTCCTGCATCATCGAGACTAAACTGTCAGTGGGGCCTGGGAGTGTTAGAGGGCAGAGCCCAGCAGGACACCATTAGCTGTGATCGTTTGGAGGCTGTTGGGTCATTGTGTGGGTGAGGCAAGCATGAAAGAACTTGGTGGGACCCAGACAGGTACACGATGCTCACAACAAACGTCCGGGACTTTTGGCTGCTTCATTCTCACTTCCCCCAAGTCCTCCTGCAGGCCCAAGGGACTTGGTGGGGTTTTCCATGATGACTTCCTCCATGACACCCCTCCTCTCTGACTGACTGGTTCCTCCATCTCCCACTGGCTGCCCTGGCAAGCCTGGGCTTTCCTGGACCCTCACGTGGGTCCTGCACTGGGAGTCTCCTCTGGGGGGGCACTGCTGGGGCTTTCTCCCTCAGAGGCAGCAGGCATGGCTGGATTCTCAGGGGCCTCTGGGGTGGGCTCTTCATCACAGGGGCTGGGGACTGAGCTGGCAGCAGATCCAGGGGTCTGGGCCTCAGGGCTCGCATGTGGCTGGGCCACAGAATCCAACTGGGGCTGGGCCTCATGATCCACCTGTGGCTGGGCCGTGGAGTTCAGCTGAGGCTGGGCCATAGAATCTGACTCTGGCTGGGCAGTGGAGTTCAGTTGAGGCTGGGCCACAGAATCTGACTGTGGCTGGGCCATGGAGTTCAGTTGAGGCTGAGCCACAGAATCTGACTGTGGCTGGGCCATGGAGTTTAGTTGAGGCTTGGCCACAGAATCTGACGGTGGCTGGGCCGTGGAATTCAGTTGAGGCTGGGCCACAGAATCTGACTGTGGCTGGGCCGTGGAGTTTAGTTGAGGCTGGGCCACAGAATCTGACGGTGGCTGGGCCGTGGAATTCAGTTGAGGCTGGGTCACAGAATCCACCTGTGGCTGGACCGTGGGGTTTAGCTGAGGCTGGGCCACAGAATCCACCTGTGGCTGGGCTGTGGGGTTTGCCTGTAGCTGGGCCACGGAATCCAACCGTGGCTGGGCCATGGGGTTCTCCTGTGGCTGGGCTGTGAGGTTTGCCTGGGGCTGGACCATGGGGTTCACCTGTGGTGAGGCCTCAGCAGTGGGTTCTGGCAGAGTCTGTGCCCCTGAGTCCACCTGGGTCTGCGGCTCGGCCGGCGTGAAGCTGCCTGGCCGCTCCTCACAGAGCGCGGCTGCGAAGGAGGAGAGCACGGAGCGCAGCAGGGTGCGGAGGTCGGCGCTGGCCAGGAGGCAGAGAAAAGGGCTGAGGCAGCTGTTGAGCAGGATCAGGTAGTCGGAGTAGACCAGCACCTCCCACAGCAGGTAGCCCGGGTAGATGTCCCACAGGAAGGCCAGGTACAGCAGCTGTGCCAGCTGGTAGGGCAGCCTCAGGACCACGTAGGCTGACAAAATGGTCTTGGCCACACGGGCAAAGCCGCGGCAGGCGGCGGGCCTGGGCTGCCGGCGGCAGCAGGTCCTGCAGGCTGCGGCCTGGGTGAGCACGTGGCAGACGAGCAGCAGCAGGAAAGGCAGGAAGCCCCCCAGGATCTCCAGCATGCGCAGCGGCAGCTCCTCGCTGTCCCAGAAGTCCAGGCAGATGACCAGGTCGTACCACCAGATGACGGCCTCAGGGAAGACCAGCCAGGGCACGCTGAAGAGCGTGGCCAGCACCCAGACGCCGGCGCAGACCCAGAGCGGCAGGCGGACCGGGCGGCGCCCCGGGTACCAGCGCGGGCAGAGCGCCAGCAGGCAGCGGTCCAGGCTGAGGGCCGCCAGCAGGAAGAGGCCGGAGGAATAGGACACGCCCCACAGGAAGTAGTAGAAGCGGCAGGCGGCCGTCCCCAGCGGCCAGTGCCCTCCCTGCTGGATCTCCATGATCTGGAAGGCTGCCGCCGCCAGGAACAAAAAGTCAGAGAGAGCCAGGCTGAGCAGGAGCAGGGCCAGCCGCGTGCCCGCTCCCTGGCGGGCCTGCGAGCCCGCCAGCCATGCCATGAGCGCGTTGGCCGGCAGCCCCAGGAGCAGCAGTGCCACCAGGAAGACCATGTCCCAGCCACCCTGGGGGTAGTAGTCCTCGTCATCGAGCTCCGTGCGGGGCCTGCGGCCAAAGACACCTAGGTTGGCTTCCATAGCAGTGTCCATCTGAAGTCCCCAGTGTACCGCTGGACAGAGTGGGCGCCTGGTAAACCAATGAAGGCATGGATGACTGGGTATGAGAAAGTGCTGTGCATCTCCAGGCAGTCACTGTCCCTTTCTGGGCACCATCATCACCTTTTGGGTAGTTACCCTATGCCAGGGACTTTAACAGATTACCTCACTTAGTCCTCATGCAACCCAGTCTGCAGGTGATGAGAGGACAGTTCAGAGGATCAGTGACCTGCCCAAGGTCAGAGTAGGAAGGCAGACACCAGGACTCAAACTCACACCTGACCATTCTGCTACTCGGAATCCCAGTGTGTCCAAGTAGACTAAACCAGAGGCTTTATAGCATATTTTTAGAGCTAGGGAATCTTTTCTTTAAGTAAACTTTATAGTGGAACTCCTATGAACTGAAAGGGAGTACTCAGATTAAAGGAAGGGAGAGTACCCTGAGGGCCCCAGGGAACACAGTTTGAGAACCACTTGGTCGGATCATTGCAGGCCCCTTTTTGTCTGGCATCCTGGGGTTCAAGTGTGTACGATTCCAAAAAGGGAGGGCTCGGGCCCCACGGGTACACAGGAATTCAAGAGTGATGGAGAGTCTGCAGGCAAGTAGGCCCCTCCCCTCATCGACTACAACTCGTGACCTCAGGGTGAGGCCTGCAGCTCAGGGCCCAGTGGCCTGGGGCCAGGAGGGCTGTCCTGGGAGCAACTTGAGCCTCTGTGTCATTCTCCAGCCCCACTGTGGCCCTCTCCCCATTTTCACAGCTCAGGCAGAGGTGGCCCCCATCTGTCCTCTGGGGTACTAAGCAGAGGAGGGGGCTCAGCAGTGTGATGAGGATGGGGGTGGCTGCTACCCCCACCTCCTTCTCTTGTGGAGTGAGGTTCCCTCTGAGGACAGAAAGCACTGATGGCGGCATGGAGTCAGGGGATGAAGCAGACGCCCCTGGAAGGCTGGATCCGGCCTATGGCCCATGGCTCCAGCCACTTGGCCTTTAGCCCAGTGGCCTCCCCACAACCACCCACCCAAGGCTCTTCCTCAGGCAGACCCCACTCCACAGGCTCCAGCCCCTACTGGATCGGAGCCCTGGCTTGGCTTACCTGTGAGGTAAGGCTGCCGGCCGGAAGGAGCAGGGCGTGCCTGGCTGCCCGGAGGTCCAGCCGTCTGCAGGGCCCCTCACCGGGGCCTGCTGCATGGCGCCCGGCGGCGCTGAGGCGGCCTGCATGAAACCCAAGCTGAGAGGACATCAATCATTCATGGGGCTGCTCACCGGGAAACCCTAACCCTGGCCCAGGACGGCCAAGTGACCAGCCAGGCCCCGCATCCTTGAAAATGCCAGATGGCTGAAACCTCCTCACCCTGGCTGTCTCTAGCACAGGGCGGGGCCTGGGATCCCCCAGGGCCCCCTTCATCTGACCTCACCCCTATGCCCCTAAATGCAGCATTAGAGGCCTCTCTTCCTCTCTTCACACACCTTCTGCTCCTGCCAGGATGTCACCCATAAGGGGGCCGCAGTGGGCAATTTGTCCTACATTGCCCACCTCTGGGCCTTTGCCCACACTCTTCCTCCTGCCTGAGATGCCTTCTCTTGTCCTCTTAGCTCTGTTCTGCCCATGTCATACAACAGGGCTGAGTCCTCCACTCTTCAACAATATTGCCCCCATTTTATAGTTAAGGCAGCTGAGGCTTAGGCGAATTTGCTGGGTCACCCAGCTCCTAAGTGGACAGAGTTGCGGTCTGATGCTTATTGCAGCCACCATGACCTGGACCCATTGTTGCTGAGAACAGTCCTCTTGACCCATCTGGTCCTGCTCTGGCCACATGGGGCAGAGAGGGCCCAGATTAGGGCCTGGGCTGCCTACCTCACTTAGCCTAATCCCCCTCAGGGCCTGATCCTGGGTCATCAGCTCTCAGGGGGTATAAGTAGCTTTATGGGTCCCCAGAGCCTAGGGTGCTTCCTCATGTTGCATCTCTGAGCCCTGTCGCCCGTCTCTACATGGCCACAGAGCAAGTGAGGGGGCAGCATGGCCCAGCCCCCACCCACAGTCCCCAGAAGCCCCCTGTGGGGGTTGTGGCTCCCAGGAATGATGCTGAGGGACAACCCTTGACCAGGAGAAGCAAGAGGGAGAGGGGGCTCCGAGAGTCCTGGAAAGGTGCTGACAGCTCTGGGAAGCAGACCCCCATCCAGTGCCCCGAGGCTCCAGGGAGCAGCAAAAGCCCCTCTAGGGCAGGAGGACAGGAAGAACCAGCCCCTGCAGCCCCCAGGCTGGCCTCTCGTCGCCAGTCCCACAGGCATCGTCCTGCCCCCCAGAACGATGCTGCTCAGAAGACATATGGGCCCCTGCTCAACCGCATCTTCGGGAAGGTCAGGAGGGGCCTGGGAAAGGTTGGGGTACCTGGCACTGCGGGTGGGGACTTGTACCCTCAGGTTCAGCCTGTCCTGCCCCTAGAGCTCAGGCCTCCTGCCACATCTGCTCCTGACCCTGCAGCCTGGCTGTGGGGCAGGGTTTCTGGCATTTGAAGAAGTAGGTCTTGGGCTGGCCAGGGCAGTGGGCCGAGCTAGACCTCAGACCCAGGGTCCTATGAGAGCTCAGGGTCCCAGGAGCAGAGAGGGGGGGTGTCTCTTTTCTTGGAGCCCACAGGACTTCAGCTGCCTTCTCCTACCCTCGTGGGACTGGCCCTGCCCAGGCCAGTGTGGGCGGGGGTTGGCGGAGGATGGCCAGAATACTGGCTGGCCTAGGAACATGCTGGGCTGTGCCCCTGCAGGACCGCGAGCTGGGCCCGGAAGAGCTGGATGGTGAGTGACCCTTGTTGGTGGCTGCGGGTGGGTGGTGTCCCTGAGCTTGGCTCCCAGGCCTGACGTCCCTCCCCTGCAGAGCTACAGGCCGCCTTCGAGGAGTTTGACACTGACGGTGACGGCTACATCAGCTACCGGGATCTGGGCGCCTGCATGAGGACCCTGGGCTACATGCCCACGGAGATGGAGCTCATTGAGGTCTCCCAGCACGTCAAGATGCGAAGTTAGTGCCTCACCCCACCGCCTGGGGCAGCCTAAGCGGGGCAGGGAGATGACAGTTTCCAGGGCAGTTTGACTGTGACATTGGCCCCTTCAGAGGCAGGGACAGCAGGGGGCAAGGAAGGCACTGGGGATCCAAGAGAGGCCCTTGGGGCTCCATGGGAACTCGGGTTGAAGAAGCCTGCTTCTGCCCTGGCGTTGAAGCGCCTGCTGCTGGTACTGGCCACCTATCTCTCTCTCTCTCTCTCTGGCTCCTAAAAAGAGCCTCCCGTGGTTCAGTGAAGCCTGGTGCGACAGAATCCTGGCCATTCCTTGTGATTAAACGTGGGGACACTGCTTGGCGGACACTGAGTGTACTCCAAGCAGAAAGTGGAGCTCCTGCCTCCTAGCCCCCCTGAAGGCATGGATGCTGGTCGTTCTTTCCTGGATGCAGAGCCAGGAGGGATAGGCCCCCCAATGTCCCTCCCTGGGCCCCAGCCCTCCATTGTGACACTCTTCTTGGGCCCACAGTGGGTGGCCGTGTGGACTTTGAGGAATTTGTGGAGCTGATGGGCCCAAAGCTGAGGGAAGAGACTGCGCACATGGTGGGGGTGCGGGAGCTCCGCATCGCCTTCCGAGAGGTGCGGGGCGAGGTGCGGGGCGAGGCGTGCTGGGGCGGGCGGTGTGTGGGCGGCTGGACTGTACCCTTACTGGTCTCCCATTAGGCCTCTGGAGGCCCAGAGCCCTGCAGATGGCGGCACTGGGGCCAGGGAAGGGTTGGAGAGGGTGTGGCTCGCCCTAGCTGGGGGATCCACCCAGGGAGGCTTCCTGGAGCAGGACGGGGCGGGTTTGGACTCTGAAAGGTGAGGGTGTCCAAGCACAGCATGTGGTAAGGTGGAGAGGGCTTTGGGCGGGAGGGGCTGAGCCCTGCCGGAACCCTAGTTTGACAGGGACAGGGATGGACGAATCACAGTGGCAGAGCTGCGACAGGCAGCACCAGCTCTAATGGGGGAGCCGCTGGGGGATCCTGAGCTGGATGAGATGCTCCGAAATGTGGACCTCAATGGGGATGGCACCATAAATTTTGATGGTAAGTGTCCTTCCCAGACCACCACCCCCCCCCCGCGCCTCCAGCTCCCAGGCTGAGCCCAGCACCTCCCGGGCTCCCTGACCTGAGGGGCCCCTTCTCTCCTGCAGAGTTTGTGATGATGCTTTTCGCCCACTGAGGCCCAGACAGCACGGTTCGTGCTGCAGGCCCTTCCCGCGAGGCCCCACGACGGAAGAGCCCAGCAGCCCCCAGGCTGCTTCTGCCCCGATAACACCTGGCTAGAGAGTTGGCTGGTCACCTGCCCACCCTCATCTTCACCTCCTTCCCACCCGAGGTGCCAGGAGAAAACCTACGCTCAACTGCCTGCCATTCCCCAGTGTGAGCAAGGTTTAACTCTCTCCAGCCCCTTGGGAAGTAGGGAGCTACCTGGCACTGGCAGCATTAAAAAATGGGGCAGTTTTGCCCTGGCAGGTGTGGCTCAGTTGTTTAGAGCATTGTCCCTTATATGAAAAGGTTGCAGGTTTGATTCCCAGAACATACCTAGGTTGTGGGTTTCCTCCCTGGTCGGGGCATGTGGGGAAGTTGACCAATGTTCTCTTTCACATTGATGTTTCTCTCTCTCTCCCTTCCCCTCTCTCTAAAATCAATAAGCATACTGAGGATTTAAAAAATGGGACAGTTCTGGGGGAGGACTGAGAGCTGGACAGGACACTTCCCCTTACTTACATGTAGAAATGTAAAAAAAATAAAAATAAAAATGCTGAACTGGAAAGAGAAAAAGGGATGACCCTAAGTACCAAAGACAAAGAGAGAACTCCAAGCTGGGGGGTGGGAGGGAGCGGGCACTCCGGGGGGCTTCAGACCTGGAGCTTTGGGAGCCTGGGCTCAGACACCCAGGAGTGAGGAAAGACCTTAAGAGGCTGGGGAGCAAGACAGGACCCTGAGTACATTCAAGGGTCTCACAGGGGTACCCTGTACTTGAAAAGGGAACCAAAATATACTTCCACTGACCAGCCTGAGGAATTAGCAAGGGTACAAATGTCCAGGGCCTTGTGTGGAGAGTTACCCTAGAGAACCCAGAACTCGGGCCTGCACAGGAGTGTTGTCTGTGTCCATGGCGTGAAAAGCTGAAGAAATAGGAAAAAAACTGCTGAAAAGGGCACTCTTTCAACCCAGGGCACATAGGGCTTACCTAAAACACACACACACACACACACACACACACACACACACACACACACACACACACACTGTCACTTCTGAAGATGAATGCCTGATAGAAAATTACAAGTCATGTAAGAAAACAAGTCACCCTGAGGGAGACGAGGCAGATGCAACAGACAGGAGAACTGGCAGCCCAAAGTGTAAAGACTAGAACCATCTAAAAGAGACCATAAAGTAAATGCAAAAAATATTGAGGTAAAGAAGGAAGAGAGACCAATATGCAGTAACAGGGTAGTATTAAAATCGAATAGGGAGATTTAAAAGGATAATACAATGGAACTTCTGAAAAGAAACAATATAGCCGTTGGAATGGAAAAAAAAAAATCAATGAGTAAGTTAAATAGCAGGTTAGAAACAAGTTAAGAGAGGATTAATGAACTGGAAGCTATTACCTGAGAAGTCACCCATAAGGTAGCTCGAAGGATGAAAGGCTGGAAAACGTAAAGGGTAATTAAAAGTCACTAGGAGCCTCAGAAAGAGAAAATATCGGGAATGGACATGAGGCAATATTCGAAGAGATGACGGCTGTAACTTTTCCACAAAGGCGAGTACCCAGACTGAAGGAGCACATTGGAGCCAGAGAAGGAAAAGTAAAATTAAATGTATATCTAGGTGCATCCCCGTGAAACTGAAGAATACAAAAGGAAAGTCAAAGGGGTTCCCACCCACATGCTCTCATTGAAAGGATGGCTTTAGCAAGAAGGAAATTAAGTCCAGGATGCAGGCAGAGTATGTACTTAATAATAGTCAGGAAAGAAACCAGTAAACACATTGGTAGGCTTAAAGAAGCATTTACCCCTAAAAATTTTTTTAATTTGAGGGATTTTAAAAACAAGGAGGGACCAAAATAATTGACAAAAACGAAATAGAAGGTGGGAAGAGGGGATGTTTTAGACATGCTGAAATGTTTTCCCTGGAGGATAGATTAATCGATTAACTTCAGATGCTTTTAACCATTTAAGGGCAGCCATCAATGTAATATAAATAGAGACAGAGTGTTCCATTCAGAGGAAGAGGGTAAGGGAGAAAGCGAAGAGCTCTTGATTAAGCCAGTAGAAGGCTGGGAAAGAGGGAAAAGAAAAACAAAGCCCACAGAAAACATTAAAACAGAAAGTAGAAATAATCCTTAAAAGATAAAATTACAATAAATATAAAAGATTAAGTTTTTCAGTTAAAACTATAAGCCTCAGTTACAAAAGAAAGTATTAATATTAGGTTGCGTTTCCTGTGAGTGACAGAGACCCAAAATAGCAATGTCTTAAACTGGATAGAAGCTTACTTCCCCCACAGGAAGTCTTAGGCTAAATCCAGCTGTACGGTCTTCAGGGACTGGGGCTCCTTCGGCTGGCTGCTCGGCCATTTGTAGGGTGTGCCCACGTTTGTTTTTCAGGTGGCAGGATGGAAGCAGGAACAAAAGTGAAAGGAGGCAAAGAGCATGAACCATATAATTATACCCCATTAGGCAGGGCTCCTTTCCTGGTACACCTACATGCAAAGGGTGCTGGGAAATGCAATCCTTGTTTTGGGGGCCCATGTGCCCAGCAAAAACCAGATGTTCTATAACTACAAGGGCAAAGGACAGATATAAAAGGGCAGATATCAGATTCTTCCCCACAACCGAGTACAGGATATGAGAGAAACGTTTAAAGCATCGTGACAACTGAAAGGCTGAACATGATGACTTGGCAAAAAGATTTACTAGGAGAAAATTAACCAAAAGAAAGTCCAGGATGTCAGGCAAAAACCATTAGGGACAGAGCCACGATTCACCAAGGAAATCTAATGTTCCTCATGTATGCAACTGTTAACGTGCTTTCCAACTAAAAATAAATTCTATTTAGAGTTTAGATATTCATTATTCCCTGAGGATAATGAATATCGGTGTCGCCGTCAATCCAACTTGGCTGACATAAATTAACCAGCAAAAAACAAGCACATTGGCTACATTAAAACTCAAAACCTTCCTATTCGGTGTTCCGTCAAAGGGTTCATACAGCTCAAGGGTGGCGAACGTTTTCTGTAAAGGGCTGGAGAGTAAAGACTGAGGCTCTGAGGACCACGTGGTGTGTGCTGCAGCTGCTCACTCCGCTGCTGTAGGTCGTGTCGCCAGGCAGCCGGAGTCAACACATGGGTGCGGCTGTATTGGAACTTTAATAATTAATTACACTTGATTTATTGACACTGAAGTTTGAATTTTATAACTTCTATGTGTCACAAAATCTTATTATTCTTTGACTTTTTCCAACCTTTACAAACATGTGAGAACCCCTTAGCATGGGGGCTCTACTGGGCCTGTGGACTACAGCTTGCCAACTCCTGATAGTCTTGTAATAGGGAGGAGCACCACTTCTGGGATAACTTTGCTAAGATTGCGGAATAACAAAAGGTTATGAGCATGGTGTTGCTCACTTTCAATGAATGGTTTTTGTGATTTTTCTTTTTTCCTATGTTCTAATTATATTTATTGAAATGTAATTTTATGTCTGATTTATCTGGTAATACAAACTATGGGCTTGATTCTGTATGTCTTTGTTTTTTATTTCACTTTTTTAGTTTTATCTTTGAGTATTGGATCATGACAAAATTAGAAATTAAAACCAGTTTTCATTTCGGCTAGTCTGAGAACCAGAGATTTAGGAGTTCCTGCATCCCAGTGGTGCTCCCAAAAGTGCCTTGACTAGGGGTGGAAGGTTGGAAGTCTGGGTGGGCCAGGAGAGCAGGAGTGAGAGCAGGGGTCTGTGTGTTGTTTTTTCAACAAAGTCACAGAAATCCGAAGGCACTGTCCTGGCTGCTGCATGCACAGTAGAGACTAGGCCAGGCCAAGTCCCTTAATGGCACTCACGTTTTCCTGGGAGACACAGACTGTAAACGTGGAATTACATGAAGAGGGTCTCCTCAGCCCACATGTTCATCCAGCTGGAGGTTGGCCAGCTGGTGACCACCAGCTCAGTGCCCTTCCCCACCCCACTGGTCTCACGGAACCCTGGGTTATGTCCCTAACCTTGCCCTTGGGTGAGTCAATTTCTCTGGGTCTGTTTTCCTCATCTGTAAATTGGGGCTGAGGAAGTGAGGACCAGAAATGGCCTGTGTTAAGTATTTAGCGCAGGCCCTGGTGTCTTCTAAGAGTTTGATAAATGGTAGCTATTATGATCTCAGGTTTCAGGGTTCCCAAAGATCTAGTTCTTAAGACTCTGAGATATTTGGATTTTTCAAAATCCTGAGATGGTCTTTTTCCAATGTTCTGTGGTTCTAAGAGTCTTTGATCACTGAGGTTCACTATCAAATGACCCTATATCCCAAGTCCTTTGTCTCCTATTTCTCCCAACCCCTGGGCCTAAGAAGTAGGGCAGTGGGTGGAGGGGGCTGGGCCGCTACCCTGTCATGGCCCACATTCCGAGCTGGCTGTGGCAGCCCAGGGCCCCAGGGCCAGGCTGGAACGGGGATAGCAGCCTCCAGGCCCCAGGCCTGCGTCATCTCAGTGCCCTTGGCCAGGACAGGTGCTAATGCTGCCCCTACAGGTGGAGACGGGCAGGCGGACGATGCCAAGGACGGGGCAGCGGGGAGGCTGGAGGCGGCTCCTCCAGCTTTCAGGGCCGGAGTCCGAGGGCCCAGCTCTGCCCCTAACGCACAGCCTCGGGCAAGTCTCGGACCGTCAGGGCTGCCCCGTGTGCACCCGGAGACGGGGTCCCGGCGCCTCAGGCCCAGGGCCGGCCCTCGCTGGAGGGGCGGTGGCCAGGCTGATGGGCAGGCTGGAAGGAAAGCGCGATTCTCCGCTGGATGTAAGCACCCCTTTTATTAGCACAAGGCACCGCCGACTCGGGAGCCTCAGGGCCCGAGGATAAGTTAAGGCACAGAGCAGTCAAGGGGTGACTTTCCCAGGCCCAGGTAGCGGGCCTGGGGTCCGCGCGCCCCAAACTTCCTGAGCAAACTCCGACGTGGACGCGGCTAGGGGCCTGAGGTCCTTTTCCGCTGAGATGGGGGAACCGGGGCGGCGCGGGCGGAGGAGCGCCCCCTGGGGGCGAGGCGAGGCCGCCGGGCCCG